CATCAAAGGGCGAACTGCATATCCCCAGATATCATGTAATTAGGCAGGACACATACAAGCTTTTGCAACTGATAAAGATGAGAAAAGTCGCTGGCAAAAGAAAAGCTAGTCGTAGGAAAAAATCGTCGCTGAGGAACATACGAGAGTGCACTTTTTTTCCCACTTCGCTTGTCGCTTGTGCAGGAAGTCCGATTCCAACCCGAGGAAACACGAATATCCCTGGTACACCTAGCGGTATAACGATCCCTGTGATTTTTCGGACCGACATTTCTCGGATTCGGAACTGATACGAATCGGACGTAGCGTCATCAATCAAACGCTCTTAGCGAGAGGTATTATTACTTCTAAACATTGTACATAATTTAAAAATTAAGATCACGGGAATTCGGTCCGTCGACTTCTCACTGGAGAACCAACCATTTTCCCACTTCAATAAAGTAGAACATTTTAATACAGAGGTCGAAATACTAGGAAAAAATTCCTTCGATCAGGTTGAAATCGAACCAGCGCCTTCTTGTTAGAAGTACATAGTAGTAATTTCACAAAAGATAATTGAATATCATGGTGGTAAAACACGTTGACATTTAAGAAATTTAATCACAAAGTAGAAAATACTTACATTTTTAACTTCTAGAGACATGCAGAAATTGTGTAATGCGACCAGATGCAGTGCAGGCGTTAACATGTTTTAAAAATTTACACACCTAACACGGAGATTCTCAGATTCTGAGGCATAAAAACTGTTCTTTCAAAAACTTACATGATCGAGTTCAAGGCATATTTGTAGAGGATTAAATGCACGGCAAGCTATAATAATAACTATATATTTTGTCAGATAACCTGATCTCCAACTAGGGAATTCCCTGTACTATGATATCAGAGCAAAGGTATTCATTCAATTTGGAAAAAATCATTTTCCATATTGATACTACCGGGAAAGCACCCGGGATCTTCAAACGATTGGGGCATCGAGATCGTCAACTTGACATTTAAAAATTAAATTGTACTAAATGCCGCTTGCTATAATAAAAAAAAACTTAATGTAAGTTTTGAACTTAGGACTGGTAATCTTAATATAGGCTCCGGAATCTTATTGTAAAAACGTATACAATTCCCCATAAAAGAATCGTTTACCTTAGTTAAACGAAATCGTGGTATTATGAGTTTGAACTTAGTTCTAAGAATAATATAATGGATATCTTCTTTCTTAACGAAATTTTGTATATTTTTACGAGCATACAAAATATTTGAGTAAATGTACTATGGTGCTACCGTCATGATACCAGTCTCCTTAAACTTTTCTGAGAGAAATCCGAGAACCTAAACGGCACATAGAACGAATCGCTCGTGTTTGCAACACAAATACGGTTTGTATATTTTTTTTTATTTTTTATTTATTTATTAGATGTACAAAACAGTTTACATTCACTCCTTAACCAAAGCTTAAACATTACTACTAGTTCTACTCTTGAATGTAAACCTAAACATGTACATACAGCATGACCAATCATGAGTAAACAATATTGTTTGAAATATAAATTATTTGTAAATTAATATAAAATACTTAGGCATAAATAAAAGTGTAACCTTAAATAAAAAATTACTATGACTATAACCATGAAAGAGAGAAACCGTGGTGGTTGTGGATTCGATTGCGAAATCTTTTAACATTACCATCAAATATATCCATCCCTACATCATCGCCAGGGTCAGCCATAAGGTCATTGTAGGCCCGACACATTCTCGTCAAAGGGTTGTAAAAAGAAGTATTATTAATATACACATTCAATACGAATGGTCTAAGAAGGCGTCGTGGATTGCACTTGATGTTAAAATTAATATGGGACAGAAGCGTTGACGATTTAAGGCTGCCGTGAAGCAATTTATGTAAATGTAGAAGATCCTGTACCCTACGTCTTGAATTCAAGGACATAACCTTAAAATGGGATAACCTCTCTTCGTATCGCGACAATTTGCGACCCATGTGCGATCTGTAACTTACTATTTTGAGAGCTCTGTTCTGTACGCCTTCCAAACGTTTAGAGTGAACCTCGTAGAAAGGTGACCATACGACACAGGCATACTCAAGAGTGCTTCTAATTAAAGTATTAAACAGTGTAATAAGGGTCTTGGGGTTTTTAAATTCTTTAGTAGTTCTAGTGACAAATCCCAACATTTTGCAAGTTTTTGATACTAGAAAATTATAATGATCCCTAAAAGTAAGCCTCTCATCAAAGTACACGCCCAAGTCTTTAGCAACCGACTTTCTCTGAAGTGATGCACCCTCGATAACGTAATCAAAGTATACTTTGTGTCGCTTGTTAGTAAAGGACATAATAAAACATTTATCGACGTGTAGGTACATGCAGTTCTGTTTGCACCATTCCGCAATCGTGGTAGCATCCCTCTGCAAAGAAACGCAGTCACCACTATTCTCTACCTTGTTAAATACTTTAAGATCATCGGCATACAGGAGACAAGAGCAGGTTAGCTTAGTGACCAAGTCATTTATAAAAATTATGAAAAATAATGGTCCCAGGTGAGAACCCTGGGGCACTCCAGATTTGATTTGGATAGCACTGGATTTGAGACCCTTGACGGCAACCAGCTGACTGCGATTCATCAAATACAAACTCACCCATCTTAAAAGACTACCATGAACTCCGTACCATGAGAGCTTACGACAAAGCAGCCTATGGTTTACTTTGTCGAAGGCTTTCCGGAAATCGGTGTATATTGCATCCACTTGTCCACCTTTAGCAAAAGCTAAACACAGGTACGTTTTATATTCGAGTAGGTTTGATACAGTAGATTTACCTTTCACAAAACCATGTTGCTGATCTACGAGTGATGACTTCACATGAAAGTAGATATAATCATACACAACGGACTCGAATACTTTGGCAACACACGATAAAATGCTTATGGGTCTATAGTTCTCACAAACAGACGGATCTCCCGATTTATGAATAGGAATGACATGCGCTAGTTTCCAAACAGATGGAAAAGTCCCAGTGACGAGGGATTCGTTAAATATTAGGAGCAAGGGAATGCTGAGCTGAGATGCACATTCTTTGAGGAATTTTGGAGGTATTGCATCCGGTCCCGCACCTTTGTTTTGGTCTAGTGATTTTAACTTATTCGCTATATCCTTCTCTGTCAATGTGATGTGAGATAGTACATTGTTACATAGTGGTGGAAGATCTGAAACTGACAACTGAGGACAGTCCTCGAAAACCGATCCAAAGTACTGAGAAAACAACTCACAAATCGCCAATCCATCCGATGCAGAGATGTCTCCGAGTTTCATGGTACTAGGCATCCCAACCTTGGCTTTTTTGTTATTTACAAAACTCCAAAAAGCCTTAGGGTTTCTGTTAATGGCTCCCTCAGAGGCCGACACGAAATCTTTGTAGCACTGATCTAAAAGAGTCTTACCTCTTAGTCGCAATAACGAAAAGGTATCATAATCTCTTGGGTTCCCAAACATTTTATACTTCCTATGAAATTTATGTTTTTCCTTTAGGCATAATTCTAGAGCGGGTGAGAACCAGGTGGGATAAGAGTAATTTAGAGATCTTTTCAGGGGGACATGCCTGAGAATAACCTTGCTTATCACAGAGTAAAAACAATCAACTTTTAAATCGACATCAGGACAGGATAATTCATCGGCCCAATTTATTTGATCAAGTTCTAATCGTATTGTGTCATAGTTACATTTATTGAAATTAAAACGTTTATTATGCTTAGGTTTTTGTAAATTATCTTTGATAGTTATTTCTAATGAAGGATGATGCCGATCCTTGCGAGTTAATGGAGTGGCTTCAGTAATTGTAATATTCCTAGAAGTAGATGACAGTACTAAATCTAATGTACGTCCAAGGTCGTTAACAATGTGATTAAATTGATGCAAGTTACAAAGAGACATGCACTCATATAATAGTCTTGACTTTCTATCAGAGGGACTGTTAGGTATTAGGTACGAATACGGTCGACCAGCAGGTGACCAGGATAGGCTAGGTACGTTAAAGTCCCCCAGTACGATACAAGTGTCATATGTCGGCATGTAAGTTATAGTTTTAAATAAATTATCATAAAATCGCTCAAGATTCTCGGAAGGCAAGTCCGGCGGTAAATAGCAAAGACATACGTGAGTAGCAATGTTAGACTTATCCTTAAAGGAAATAGTGATCCACAAATCCTCAACTTCACTCTCCCAGTCCTTATGACAGATTACATTTAGTTCTTTTTTAACGGCAATCAGCACTCCGCCACCCGCGGTCTTACTGACGCTAGTAGATTCACGATCTCTCCGATAAATATTATAACGAGAATCAAAAAGCTCTCCATCAAATATGGTGTTGTTTAAATTGGTTTCAGTAAGACAAATGCAATCGTAATTACAGTTTAGTACGTTGAGATATAATTCTGTGGTTTTAGATCTAACTCTATTAACATTTTGGTAAAAAACTAACATATTTAAATACAGATAAGATATTCAAGTAGATAAATATCTGCCGCTTTACCCCACATGGAAATCCCACAGGACATTATACTATGGAAGTAACTAAAGTAAACTAGTCTAGCAGTAGCAACATCGGTAAGCTCACGTATTCTACGAACTACGTATGCTGATAGATAGATATCAGATAGTAAGGTCGGTGCCCTCACTTAGATATCCACTATTTGCACTAAGTTCTATACAAGTAGTAGATACCCAAGTGACAGCATCGACTGTACAGTCAACAGCCCATCAAGGTATACACTTTTGTTCGAATATCGCCTCCATGGAAAAGGAACAAGATCCGTTGATTGTGTAGCTTGATTGTGCAGTTTGAAATTGAAATATTTTTTTTAAATTTACTAGTTTTGTAAAAAGTAGTGCAACAAAAGCTGTTGTTCGTGATGTTAGTAAATAGTCTTGAGAAGTTGTTAATGTTTTACAAATAACCCTGTATGAATATTACAATTAAAATTGTATATAAAAAGAAACACGTTACCTGAAAATATTCATCTGTGGAGACACCGAACCACTCTGGCGAGTCTAAGAAGTGGTGCGGGAACACTATGTGCAATGCCCTCTGGTTTTGTGACACCACCAACCTGTAACAAATAAAGATAATTCATCAACTACTAGTTAATATAGTCCCGTCATGAGATTTCATAAAAAAGACAGATTGTGTTCGACCGCTTGTAACCTAAGGGAAGAAACGTTGCTTCTATAATACTCGCTTCAGGTGTTCTTGCAAACTATCCTACATGATGGGCGCAGGTTCAAGATGCGTCCTACCAACATAGATTATAATAACTTGAATCACCTTAATATAAAACGCACTAGAGTACTACATAGGGCACACTATACGTTTCCGGAACTGGCCACTTATATAAACAATATTTAAAAAGTAATTACAACATTTGAAAATAGAACTCTTTGGCTGTAGAATACAGTTTGTTGTATCCGACTGTCACTTGTTTTTACATTGTGGCGTCATTTTAGAATTTGGTTGTCTACATCACCATGGATTTAATTCGTGAAAATGTTCTTAGTATGATTTTCTACGACTTTAAGTGTAACTTAACAGCTCAGCGGAGCTTCGCTCGGCTTCAAACTGCTTTTGGCGATGAAGCATTATGCAAGACGACTATTTATAGCTGGTTTGCGGAATTCAAACGCGGTCGTGTGAATCTCAGTGACGAATTTCGTGATGGTTTCCCGTCCACTGTTGTGAACAACAAAAACAACGATGCTGTGCCGTATGATCAAAACAGACAGGCATGTGACATACCATGAGATTCGGGTATCTTTAGGCATAGGCATGAGTCAAATACAATTAATACTACACAAACATTTGGATGTGAAAAAGCTGTGCTCTCGGTGGATCCCACACAATTTGACCGAGGCTCAAAAAACGGATCGCGTCATTTGGTGCAGTGCCATGCTTACCAGATTCAATGAAGGGGCGTCAAATTTGGTGTCGGATACTAACTGGTGACGAAACATAGATTTATAGTTACGATCCCAAAACAAAGCAGCAATAGAGCGTATGGGTCTTTCGAGATGAGCCGAAGCCAACCCAAGTGGCGCGCGTGCAAAGTGCTTCTAAGCGGATGATTGCTTCTTTTTTTATAAAACTGGATACGTGGCTACTGTTGCTTTGGAGAATCGTTGTACCGTGAATAGTGATTGGTACACGATCATTTGTTTGCCGGAAGTTATTGACAAACTCCGTAAAAATAACCGTAAACGCCGTATCATCTTGCACCACGATAATGCCAGTTCTCACACGGCCAGACAGACAAATGAATTTTTTAAGGTGAACAACGTTGACCTTATGAGCCATCCCCCCTTCAGTCCCGACCTGGCACCTTGTGACTTTTATTTATTTGCAAAAATTAAGAACCAGTTACGCGGTCAACGATTTTCATAACCTGAAGAGGCTGTCGAAGAGTATGAAAAATATATTTCAGAGATTGTCACGGAGGAGTGCCACATATGTTTCCAAAATTGGTTCATTCCTATGAAAAAGTGCATTAACGCTAACGGGGAATATTTTGAGAAACAATAAATTCATTTCTGACCATTTATAGTATTTTTTTTCTTATTCATTCCGGAAACTTACAGTTCGCCCCACGTATAAGTGTGAAAAATATTGACATCGCGAATCAGAAGTCGCTTCGGGACCACTTTAACTAATTTTAAATTAAATTAAATTTTAAATCTAAATATAAAAAAATTAAATTTTACTTAAAAAAAATCATGAGTTATTGTGTTACATATTTTGCCAATATTCTCAGTCCAACTCAAACTTTACTATCCTACATAGGATCATAAAATCACGCAGCTAAAGTAAATAAAAACGATTTGATAACTGGTCTATCATCTTTTACACTAAACTTGTATTTAATCAATTCTTTACAACCTTTATAAATTTAAGACCCAAGCTTCTTTATTACACCAGTAATGGAGCATTTTCTGTTAGTTGCCCGTGTGTGTGTAGGTGTAGTGAAACTACAAACGTAGTTGTGTTTACTAAAACGTAAATGAGAATGCTTCAAAGGCGAGGTTTAAAAACGACGAATATATAAAGTTAAAAAGGTCGAGTTTATGGGGAACCGCTAACAAGGTGACGGCGCAAACGCCTACCGAGCGAGCTGCCTACCTGTTGGAATAAAATTAAAAAGCCCGTTTACTAAATTTTAACGTGCACTTTGTTTAAAAAGGTGTTATTTGAAATCATGGAGTTTGCATTTCATCTTCATCAACCAGTTTTATACGGTCTTAGTCTAAGGAGGCTGTGATTCCACCGGAGATACACGAGGTAGCAAGGCGGTGTGCGAGGAAAAAATCCACCAATAGGATTTCTTCATTTTCCTAGCCTCGGAGCTAAGTATTTAAAAAAAAGAAAGAGATGCGAGGAATGTGTGCGAGAGACGCGAGTGAGGAATGTGTGCGAGAGACGCGAGTGAGGAATGTGTGCGAGGTACGCGAGGGAGCAATGTGAAACGGCAGAAAATCCTCAAACCGCTCAGCTACACACCGTTTCACAGTTTCAATACGCATCCTCGCACAGATTTGGTGGAAACCATCGCACCGTCTCACAGTGCCGCTTCACATCCTCGCACCGCCTAGTTACCTCAAATCGCAGCCTTAATCGGAGTTCGAAGTGATAATTATTACAATAATTATCGTGATAAATAGACCTTGATAATTATGTTGGTGTTTATAATATAATAAAAGCTGGAACAACAAAATGCTACCGCTAGCAATGTTGCCATGTGTTTGTATCAGAGGCGTGTCCAAATGTGTCAAATATAAATCTAAAAACCTTTATTTTTTATGATATCAAGTGATGGGACGAATAAGTCGTGTGCCTGGTGGTAAGCGACACGCCTGTCCATAGCAGTTGCAGTGACACTCAGAACTGTAAATCGCAAAGATCTGAGGGGCACTGCTACTGCGCCAGTGACCCTGAGACATAAATCGACAAGTCCCATGTCAAAATCAGTACAGTAATGCTTAAATTACTGCTTGGTGGTAGAAATAGGTAAGTACTTCTACAACAACTTTACAAACTCTTTTACAAGGAGCTCTATTGATACTACATTCGTTGAAACGCTTTCCCAAAAAGTTTTCTTGGTGTTTATTCAGTTATATCACTATTTGTCATTCTCAGAATCAGCATAGATAAATGTCATGATAATTATCAAAGAAAATAAATATCTTGATAATTTTGAACACTGCTACTAAACATTAACTAATGTAATAATAATTAATAACAAAGATCGTACACTTAAAAAAAATCTATATAATACTACGACTAGCAAACCGTGGCTGACGCTATTGCCAACTAAGCGATCTTTGTTATTAGTAATCATAACAAACTAGTGGAGCAATTTCACAAAAAACAATTTGAATATTATGGTAATAAAACATCGTCACATTCTAAAAACTTGAATATTGCAATGAATAAAGCGACACCTCTAATCAGCGACGGTAGCTGTAAGGTACCTCTCTGAGTGAAGAAATAAATTTCTCACAGGTGGCGCTACGGCATAAAAAGTCGTTAAAAACCAAAACAAATATCTGCAACAAGCACATAGAAAAATTCTTAATGTCCGCTAATTCGTTCCGTTGCGTATAGCGTCTGGCCCGGTGTCCTAGAAAGACGTCGGTTCGAATACGACCGGAGGATTTTTTATATTTTTTATTAATAATTATAACAAATTAGTGGAGCTATTTCACAAATAAAAAAAAACGATTGAATATCATGGCAGTAAAACATCATGACATTTAATAAAAACTCGAATATTCACTAATGTTACTTAGAAACTGAAGGCATAAGTGGCGGCACAAGGTTTCGAGCCGTCTATCGTCCTTCTCTATTGAGAAGCACCCGTTCCTCCACTACCACCGCTCTTAGGGTCGACACACAAAACTGTGAATCGGCGCGATGCGAATTCGCAACGCAAAAGATTGCGAAGCGAATTGCTGCGACGCGATTTCGTGCGGCAAGGCATCCCACTGCCACGGTTCGGGTAACCATTTCTTCGACGATCATCAACCGTACTGATCGTATTTTTTAAACCAGGTAGCGACAAGGATCGTAAAAAGAGTGTTGTACTGCTGTTTTTGATAAGAAAGTATAGGAAAAAACACAAAGAAGATTAAGATCGCAGGAATGCGCGATGCGGAGCAATTCGCAAATTCTTACCATGCGTCGTGCGAGCTCGTAGATTTGTGCGATGCGACATCGCAGTTTTGTGTTTCGACCCTTAAATGTAATGATATCAAAGTGAAATGCCTAAAGTAAGCCGAAAGCCTGGTTTGAAGCCGCGGTTCATTGTGTAGACTCCATTAGCGCGACCTTACGCGATATTTACGAGACGCCGAATGTCAGGCTATATTTAAAGAGATATTAAAGCTTTCGTTCACGAGTTTTGCTCTTCGTACCGTACCTTAGGGACTCGTAAATGTCAGAGGATTTAGTAGTGTACGGTATATTCGTTTCAAAGGCTAATTCTATTCCATTGGACCGTTGTTCAAAACGACGCAATATTACAGATTACTTAATAGTTACTACGT